GCTTGGGCCGAGCCACCTTGAGGTGGCTCGGTTTCGGCCGAGCCCCTCCGGGTTTTGCGTCCGTCGTTCGGTTGTTTCGGTTCTTGTATCCGCTTCGTCCGTGATTCGGTTATGCGGTTGATTGGTCTGAAATCGATTCGTTGACTTGATTCCTGTTTTGGCAGTAAACCCGATTCTGAGCTTGATTCCAAAGCTGACCGTGACTCGATCGCGATTCATCCGAGTTCGCCTGTGGCGTTGCTCTGAACCCCGATTTATTCTGAATCCTGATTTGGAAGTCTGGATCCCGATTAGGCAGTAAATCGGCTTTGGTGTCTGAGTTCGAATCCGTTATATGGTTGAATGACTCGTTGACTCCCTGAACCGTTGGTTTGATTCCAAGCGCGAATGGATCTATTCCGTGGCTTGCGTGCGATTCGTCGATCTCGTCACCTCGTTGGTTCGTCGGTTTGTACCGAGCTGTGCTAAGGGACCTATAAGTAATTTTATATGCCTACATAACTGCCGCATGTAGTAACTCCTAAATACGAGGTAATCAATGGACGGGTTGATACGAAACGCGAGGGTCACATCTCAGCAAATCAGACGAACCTCGTTTGACAAACGAACGTCGTCAAACAGGCGAACCTCGTATGACAGACGAACCTCGTCGAACGAGCAAACATCGTCAAACAGGCGAACCTCGTCGATCGAGCGAACCTCGTCGATCGAGCGAACCTCGTCAAACAATCGATCCTGGTATGACATACAAACCTCGTCAAACGAACGAACATCGTCAAACAGGCGAACCTTGTATGACAGGTGAACCTCGTCGAACGAGCGAACCTTGTCAAACTACGAGAACGCTAGGGTCACCCTCGTGCGAATACGTAGCTCGTCTGCATGCTGCGAAGCAGCCTGCGAGGCAACCTTCGTGGCGCCAAACAGCGCCACCTCGCCCCGATGCCTCCGTGCGAAGTACAAAGTGCGCCTAACAAAGCGCCATTTAGCGTCTCAGCCTGATTAGCCCCGATCCCCGGCCCACGGCCCACGACCTACTTATGAGGGATTAATTCAAATAAAACACTTCTCGGCTTGCCATTGGAAAGCCTAGAACAAGGGACCTTTTGAAACACTAAAAAATAAATTTTTCACTAGGCTACTAAGCATTTATGAAAAAAACTTGTAGTTAATATATATATAGTTTGAAAACTTATTTTGGAAAGCGGTTTTGACCAAAAAAATCCAACAATCTATCACGATGAAACTATGTGCATTAGTGACAAGAAATGAGCTTCAAGTCCACAACAAAGGGGTGGGTGGGGGGAGCTCCTAAAGCAAAAAAAGAGATTTTATCAGATACCTTGGTGCATCCATCACAAGGAACAATTGCGTCTTGATTTCTAGCTTGTAAGCCTCTTTTATTGCTATCATATTTGAAGAGGTCAAAAATATAATCTCTCACTATAGAGTGAATTGGCTGAGCTCATCTGATAAACAAAAAAGCATTGTTTTGTCACTAGCACAAAGCAACACATTTCCATAATCGCAAAAACTTAATTTAATAATTGCAAAAAAAAAAAAATGACAGGTGCAAGGGGAACAATGACATGCCACGTCATTCAACAAGCAGATTGGCCGGCGGCAAATCTCATGAACCTCTTATCCGAATATTCCCTACGACCAACCAATCTCTCCCTCCGTACAAGCCGTTTACTTTTGACCACATCATAATTAGAAATAAATAAAATCAATTAGCTTGTTCTCAAGACTAAAATCTAAGCATGGCCCTAGCTAGCTCTTTAGCACCAATTCATAATCAAAGGCAACCAGCACAAATGCACGGTCTTCCCCGTAGTTCGAGCACTTCAAGCAATCGTTCGTCGAGGAATCTTGCAGAGATTGAAGAAGAAGAACCAGAAGCAGAAGCAGAGAGTTTTTACGTTGCAGTTGGAAAAGAGTACAGAGAGAGCAAAGAGACATTAATCTGGGCTCTTCGAAATGTCTCGAAGGACAGGAGACTTGTTCTTGTTCATGTGCATAGGCCTGCTCAGCTGATCCCTATGAGTGAGTCAAGTAACAAAAAAAAAAAAAAAAAATTCATTACATTTCTTTCAATTTTCTGATAAATTCATTTATTTGAAATTTGACTGCAGTGGGAGCCAAATTTCATGTGAACCAACTTAAAGAAGAGCAAGTTAGAGGGTTTAGATTGCTTGAAATGCACAAGTTGAATAATACTTTGGATGAGTACCTGGCTCTTTGCTCCCTTGCAAAGGTGAACCTTCAAATCTTATCAATAAAGCGTTGGCTTTCCAAGCGAAGGCGGCATCAGTCGCCTGTTTCTGCAAAAAGCTATGAGTATGATGTAAATATCTAATAGTTGTTCATTTACAGGTTAAAGCAGAGAAATTAGTGATAGAGATGGATGATATTGGGAAGGGGATTGTGGAGCTCATCGCTCAACATGGGATCAAGAAACTTATCATGGGTGCAGCAGCAGACCGACAATACTCAAAGTACAAAATACGTATTTGCGCGTGTTCATTTCTTCGATTCAAGAACTAGGCAAAGATGTTTAAACACAATAAATAAATAATTAGGAGCTGCTCGTGCATGTACCGTCACCAAATTGCGGATGGACCTGCAGTACTATCATCACCAAATTGAAATTACTACCACTTTAGTCCTGTTGTTGTTGCAGATAGACCTCCTAAAAGAGTTCTATTATCACAGACAGACCCCTGGAGTGAAAATCTATTGTTGAAGATAGGCTCCCCTAAAAAGGGTCGAAAGAATTTCACTCAACAAGTCTTACCTGCAACAACAGAACTACAGCAGTAGTAAGTTCAATTTGGCGACGGTACAAACGCCTACCAGCAATTAACCCTTTTAACATCAGTACGAAGCATGTTAACTCATACGATTTCATAATAAAAGTTTGATAGTCGTGCAAGATTATTAACGTAACTACATAGAAAAGGAGAAAAGCAAGCAGTTAAGTACCGATAGAATCCACTAACTGGAGGTTTTCTCTGCACAGGAAACTTAAAGGTCCAAAATCCAAAACAGCAATAAGCGTGGAGCGAAATGCTGATCAATCATGCAAGATATGGTTCGTTTGCAAAGGGAATCTGATCTGCACCAGGTATCCCGTATTGTCATAAAGATAACTTTTTTTTTTCTGCTTCACTATATTGACTTCATGCTAGTATACTCAATATCTCTCACCAAACAATGCTTCACGCGATGCATGTACCCATGCTTTTGTTAATTTCTGATAAAGGAGTCTAGTTCAAGACCTCGGGTTCACTATGGTTTCCTCAGAATGCAACAAATGTTACTAAATGTAGGTTCAAGGCCGGAAGCCACATATACCGGTGCATAGAATTTATGCCCATTCATATTTATGCCCATTCATACTTTTTTTTTTAATTTTGTTCTTTCTTAATTGTTGTTTTGCTACCTTTGATATTTGGTTTGAGGGGGGTATTGCTGGATAAATAACAACAAATCAAATACCAAGATGTAACAAATTAAAATAATTAATTTATTAACTATTAAAAGTTAGTTTTAGTTTTCTCATATATTCAGTAACGTGAGAAATTCTTAAGGCTAAAAGATCTCTTTCTGTTTCTTCATAACGGGTCTTTTTTCTCTAATAAAAAGAGACCCAGTGAGGAGATAAAATATACATAGAAACTAGAAACCCCTCCTTTCTCATCTTCTTCTTCCTCCATCAAAATTTTGGTACATTTTTTTGGCTGCTTACTCAAGGGTCATGATCTCCAACGTGGTCGTGCACTCTAGGGTTCCCGTAGAAAAGGGATCGTACCGCTAAGGAGTCTTTCGCCTTGGCTGATCGCACGAGATCGGTAGATGTCTCTTTAGGGCAGTGGTTCGCCACGCTTCCCCTAAAATTGTTCATTTGATTTTTCTAATAAATATCAATAATTGTGGTTTCTAGTCCAACATATTGTACTTTCTTTCTCTCTTTTTTTCCCCTTTGGGAACAGGATGGGCGGGTGGGGGCGGGGGGGCTCAACAGAGGCCTCAGCTACCTGTTCCATTATACCACCCTTAAATCTGTAGTGTTCATTAACATCAACACCGCCTAACCAATAAGATAATAATGTTCAGTTACATCCTTTTTGTTTTGTTTCCTGTTTGTTTCCCTACACTTTCTGCCATTTTACGATATTTTGTTTCTCTTTTCCGCCATCTCTCTCGTTAGATTACCTAATAGTAATCATATTTAATATAGGGACGCGGTCCTAGATGGATCAGAGGTAGGAAGGTCACACGGAGCCATCCTGCAGGACTCTAGCCAGTCATACCAATTGAGATCGAAATCTGCACCTGCACATCAGACTGAAACAACCAACTGGCTCGCAAGCCCCACTCAAAGATCAAGGTCTGAAGATTATGATTCCCGTGGGGGGAAATTAAAGCCTGCTGATACATCAAGAAGTGTAAGCTTTTCGATGAGAGAGGGAGGTGTCGTTGATCCTTCGGAAGGCATTTCTCGGGGTTCTCCGGCTTCAGACCATTCCTTATCGTCGGTTGGTAGCAGCATAGGCTCATTACCAACATTTAAGGATCAAGAGAACGAAGAGGCATTGCCTTCAGTGCAGGAGCCTGACGAGGAACTACGACTTTCGTCTCCAAGCCTTGAGCTGGTAAATTAAAATTATTACTCCCTTCTCTTTCTTCTCTGAAAATGAAAATGAAAAAAATGTAACGTTATTAAAGATTTCAAATGAAGGAGAACTTTAAATAGGGGTCTTATATTGAGCATCGATCAAGAATGCAACGTCTTTTTCAGGAAGGTGATGCGGTAGATGATGAAGTATATGAAAAGCTGCAGTATGCCCTCAAAGAGGCAGAGGACGCTAAACGTGAAGCTTATGAAGAATCACAGAGACGGAGGAAAGCTGAAGTATACGCAATTGAAGCTGCCCAAAAAGTGAGCTTTCAAGTTTCGACTATTAGATTTTTAGCTGCCAAGTAGAGCAAGATCGATTTTATAGAACACTTTTGCAGGTTAAGGCATCAGAAAACGTCTATGTGAAGGAGCTTAAACAAAGGAAAGGCATCGAGGTAACACTGGCAAGAGAAAGACTAGAGCTTGAAAAACTCAAAGCTCAGCATGACGAAGTTCTGGAAGAAGTCCAAAAGGCAAATGGGAAGAAAGCACAGATGCAACTGCAAATTACTGAATCTGAACAAATAATCAAGGACCTTCAAGAGAAATTATCAGTAGCTAGATGTCTCATCAAATCACTACACAAGGAGTATGAGGGGTCGCAGCAAGAGCAAGAGGATGCAATTAGAGAGGTAAAAGAGCAAGAAGAAGCAAGCACCGGCACTCAGAGAGTGATGAATTTCAGTGAGTTTACATACTCTGAGATTGAGAGAGCAACTAATAACTTCGATGACTCTATGAAAATCGGAGAAGGTGGATATGGAAGTGTCTATAAAGGATATCTTCGGCACACCATTGTGGCTATAAAGATTTTAAATTCTCAAAGCATGCAAGGACAAGCGGAATTTTATCAAGAGGTAAAACCTATGAAACTATTTGCAATCAATAGAATTGGTCACAGCATTTTTCATTGTTCATTGAGAGCTTAGTCAAGTTGTTAGCAAATATTTAAAAGTAAATTTCAAATGATTCATTCTGCGAATCTTTGACTCTTATTTTTTTACATTGCCTATCTCAAGCCACGACAAAGGAGGATGGTTGCATTAGGTAGCTAACAGTCGGCACAAAACTCATTCAGGATCTTCGCAATTAATTCTCAAGAGATAAAGAATTGTTTTCCAGCTATTTAGGATATTCTATTAGGGATATGTAAGTTTATAACACACATACAGTAGAGCTATTTTCATCCCATATATCTTTCATGAATTTTTTGTGCACGTCAGCATGTGTACAAGAATATGACAAATGTATATAGATATTTACAAAAGTATGAGGGTGTCCCAGTGTGGTGAGGGAGGGAGATAAGGGGGTGGGCATGCTAATAAATCTAAGTAGCCATGCAAATTATAATTACTTATAAACTTTCCATGAATAGCTTTCAAATACTAAAATTGTGATTTCACTTTCATAAATCAAACTTGAATGTTTGCTCCATTTGCCAAGGAGATGTTAGGATTGTGTTTTTGATTCGTTGTATAACTTCATGAGAATTAGATAGGATTAGAGATCTATCATGATTAAGAGATTTAGTATCATCATGATTAGGAGTTTAAATCTTATTCTAATTAGGAAGTTAGGTTAGAGATAGGGTTTTGATTTCTCTATATATATTCTTCTATTATTGGAGGAAAAACCAATGAGAGGAGAGATAGCCAATATTCTTGTAATATAGGGTTAGCAGAGGGCGTATTCTGATTCAAGAATATTGTGCTAGAGGCAATAGTTTCCTAGTTTTTGTCCGTACAAAAGATTATAATATTGGGAGAGATTTCGTAGTCTTTATCCGTTCAAAAAATTGTAAGAAGTGGGTTTTGGAGAGAATATGAGAGTTGCTTATATATGTGAGGTTGAGAGATTGAGAGACAAGAGTTGAGTGGTTTCTCTTGTAGTTCTCCCTGATACATTATGAATTTCTTGTATTGTTGCCTCGTAGATGTAAGTCAAAGTTGGTCGACCGAACTATGTAAATCTTGGTGTTCCTTCTTCTTGGTTGTGGGTTAGCTTCCGAGTTGTAGGGATCGTAGTACGCGGAGGGACTAAAATTCCCCAACAATTAGTATCAGAGACATGATAATGGATCCGGGAGCGAGTTCGCAAGATAGCCGTCGTACAAAAGTGAAGATCGACGGTGTTACATGAATCAAGATGAAGGGGGAAAAGGTACTTTAGTAGCGGGAATACTGTAGTGACGGGAACATTGTTCACATGGGTAAGGGTTTGGTTAAAAATTATTAAATTAAATCCGACATTGCAGATTAATTTGTCTTCTAATTGAGGGTTTGGAGGTGGATTTCGACGATTCAGAAGTTGATTCCTAGGCTTTGGAGTGCACCAAATGCAATGGAAGGTTTTGTTTTTTTAGATTATGCTCGAATTAGTCAGAAGATAGAGGAAAGTTTTTATGATGATGGCGGGACAAATCTGATAGCAGATAAGGTGAACGAGTATGCGATGGATGAGACTGGTTTAGAGAATCAGACGTGATTCTAGTAGTAGAGTTGTCAGCATATAATTATTCAGAGTCATCGTGGGAGCAAAAGTTGGTTGGTGTGTAGACTCGAGGAGGATAGTGCCAGATTAGGGGGCGTTTGCAAGCATGCACTACTGAGTGACATACATGGAGATGGTGACATTGGACTTGAAGACGATGAGAGCTCTGTTGTGCGCAACGGACGAATCACAAACCAACGAACGAGAAGAAAGTAATCAAAATAACCAAAACTCAAGTACCAAACAGCAAGCCAATAAATTTACGTGGTTTGGAAATGTGCCTACGTCCACGGGGCATGGAGGTGGAAGATTTTACTAATAGAGAGAAAGAGAATACAAATAGAGATTACAATCACTCAATAATCTCATCAAATAACCCTAATCAAAGGATCTCACAAGCTCTCAAATCTCTCACTAATTCTCCCTCAAAAGTGCTCAAAACCCCTCTCAATGTCTGCTCAAATTCGCCCCCCAAAACCCTAAGAAAAAGTATTCATATTTATATCAAAACAGAAACTCAAACCAATCAGGAAACTAAAACAGGGCCTAAACCACAACGCGGTCGACCGGACATGTCGTCACGGTCGATCGGCACATAACAGGGTTCGGTCGACCGGGCATGTGCATCCGGTCGACCGGCCAGAGCACTGATTTCTCTGCCCGTAATATGCACATTTCCGGTCGACCGGTCTGCACCAAAAATTATTCCTGCTTTGTTTTTCCTGTTCTCTTTCGCCGTTTTCGTCATTTCTACAAATCTTCGCCTCGGTGAAGTTTTCCCAAAAACTGAGCCGACCTCAAAACCAACCATCCATCCTACTTATTGCGTCCAGTATGAAGTGGAATCAATCAACGACAACAGACTCAATCCACAACAAGTCGAGAATCCAAATAAGAACTCAA